GAAAAAAGTAATGAAAGTAATAAAAAGAAGTTGCGAAAAAATTTCGATTTTCTTAGTTAAAAACTTTGGTAAAATGAGATGAAAATTTGTCTTCGACCTTATTCAAAATTCATTTCAAACAAATATAAAATTAAAAATCTACAAGTATTCTTTTAAAAATGAAATCCAGTTAAATTTTCAGAGAAAAACACAACAGAGACCACTTAGTTTCAAATTAAGCGAAAACTCTGCTTTTCAATTTAAAAAATGGTTGAACTAATCAGATTAAAAGGTATTTAAAAGCAATAAAAACAAATAACACGAATGTTCGCACCAGACCTAAAAGGGAGAGGACATGACCGTCTGACCGGTGCTACTAGCGATTACTCACTTGTACTTCTCTCCTTGGCTCTCCCTTCCTAAGGACCAAAAGTTGAGTGCAATAAGAGAAATAACTAACGAGAAATTGCTAGAAACTGCTGCCCACTTATCTTTTGTTATCAGTTTTAAAAGGCGAATTTTAAGTAAAAATTCACTAAAATTTTGGACACCAACTTTAATTCCTTGAAGAAAATTGGACGAAAAACGTGAAAATTTTAAAAAATTACAATTTTACCTGGACTGATGGTTTAAAAATTTCTGAGCAATAATATTTGAATAATTTATCATCGAATCGAGCAAGAAGATCGAACGTTTCATGATTCAATAAATTTGCAAAATTCGCGATTTGCGCCGATTTTTAAAAATTAAAATACCATTAAAACTCAGACGATAACGATACACTAAGAATCAGATCAGATTCTTATTTGTATTTCGTCACAAAATCGGTTCAAAATTCTGGCTTTTTTCGCAATAGGGCGGATATTTGTTAATTTTGTAATTATCGATTTTTTGCTGTAGTATTTGCTATTTTAGGTTAGTCTTGGCCTACTGGCTATCGAGGCTAGACGGTTACGTAGACTTGGGAATGAGGGATTTTAGCGAGAGAGTCCCTAGGTGATAGAAATAGTTCGTGGGCGTTTTTGCACATGGGCGCATGATTTCGAATTATTGTTAAAGAGATATTCGCGGGGAATTCGACTCACTAATTGTTTTCTTCAGGACAAAAAAACGGGAAAGGAATGTCAAGCGCAGAGGAATTGGCTGCGGAATACGAACGAGGTGATTTAGAAGTTGGAAAAGGTAGTGCAAAACGCAGTAAGGTTGGATATTTCGCAGAGATTCGGTTTCAAATTCAAGAATAGTTGTTACACAATTTTAGCGAGTCTTCTAATAAAAATCTTTAAATCTAATAGTTCTCACCATTACGTTCAGCTGACTATAAGAGTAAGACGTCTCCATGCTGTTTGGTCTGAGGCTTGCAGTAATAGAAGCCAGTTCTAAGTTCATATATCGCTGGTCCATTTATATTCACATTCAAAATCTTTCAAGCCTGTTTAAAAACTATTCAGCTTGGCTGTCCAAAAAGTAACTCAGTTGAAGGGCAGCCAAAAAATCGATGAAATAAATGACGTTGGGTTGTATTTGAAGTTTCAACACTCTTCTTGACATGAATATCTTGTCAGCACGATCTGAATCCAGTTTGGTTAAGGCGCATTATGTCCTGTACTGCCATAAGTCTGTTCAGTAGAAGGATAGCGAAAACTTTCTTAGAGTTGTTTAGAAGGTTAATTTTTCGATATTTGTCTCAGTATATCGTGTCATCCTTCTTAGGGATTGAGAGTAAGATTGCTTTGTTCCAGTCACATGGTTTTTTTCTTTTTTACCAGAAAATAAGTAGTTAGAGGTAAGTTATAAAAGAGATGTTGTCACATTTGAGAACTTTAGCCCGAAGACCGTCTTCTCCGAGAGTTTCGTTGGCCTTGAATTTCTAGATAATAGATTATTTCGTATTTCTGCTGGCAGTTCGCAGTTGCAAACTTGTGGCTCGATGATCGGTTCAGCTGCATCCTGATAACAGATGTAGTTACGTTTGGGTTCAAAGAATTCCTTCCATCCAGTAAGGTGATCTTTAATACTCTTAATACTTTTAACAGTTAGAACACCAGCAGAACACGAGTATTATCTCGTATTATTTCACTGATCGCTGCATGAATTATACTTGCTTTATAAAGAAGGCGAAATAATTTTCTATTATCGCCTAAGTGAGCAGCTCTTTTTATTTGCAAAGCATCAAGATCTAACATTTATGCTTTGGCAGCTTTTGCGCACTGCTTAACATTTGCCTCCGATACTCAATTAGCACAGTATATTCTAGTGACTTTTGGAGATTTACCTTTAGTTGGGACCAATATTCATCTGCCGATATAATATCATATCATTTATATCATTGAAGTGCTTCGATTCGATGCACTTATTGCCCCGGAATCTTTTAATTTAAGATGGTTGGATGATCCTGAGAGACATTTTGCTAATTATCAGTTTTATGCGGATCCATAGTTTGAACCATAACATGGTCTTATGTAGGTTACCATTTTCATCGTCGCGATAAAAATAATCTTCCATTGGCGATTGATTGGAATATAATCAATCTGTTTGGAATGTTAGTTACATGGAGAGTTCCATGCACTAGATATCTTCGACGTTGGAAGCACGTATTAATAATAAAAAAATACATGCCCTTCGCAAGTCATTCTCGCTTGGTACATTCGGATTGTTAATGCGTATTAATTACCGAATTTACTATGGTGGGATCGTAGATCTGCGTATATATTCCAGTCTCCCCCGATTATGACCATGTCACTTTTTGGTTCAGGTTACTGTTAGTAATTGGAGTCCCGCATAGGATTTATCACGGTCATCTGCGCATAAATTGGATATACACCAATGACCAAAATATTGCAGAATTTTCTTTTGAAGGCGGCATAAGCCATATGGTCATTCACCGGCTTCCACTCCACTCATTCGAGATGGATCGAGTTTTTCAGACCTGACAGTCGCACCCACGCCATTTCGCCCTGAGTTATACCACAATACAGCCAATAACTCTTCTTAAAGTCAGGTTTGGTAATTGCACGAGACCCAGTTGCGAGACCCGATGGAAGACGGACCTCCAACAACCAGATGACATCCACACGGTATTTAGAAAGAGTTTGCATANTGACTGCTGGGCTTGCAACGTCCATAAGCGTTCTGATGTTTCAGGCTCTTACGCTAACGCCTTGCAGCACGTGCAGAGGGTCGTTTTGGTTCGTTTCCTTTGACGGATTCCGAGCAGTTACCCTGGTTTGCGAGCACATCGTAGCCTTGAGGCCTTCTGAAGCCTTAAAATAGAGTTTGACTACGGATTGATTGTATACTTATCGCATTTACCATCGGCATGGGAATATCATGTGCGTTGGAGGATGCGCACGCTGTATTAGAAAAACCTGGCTGTTTCACCAAAGAGTCACTTGGGGGTAGGGTTAGAGGTGGGTCCCCAGCAGCCATTTGGATTTCAAAATCATGACGTGAGAAGTTCATTCCTTTGGAGAGAAAAAATATGTAAATATTAAATAAAATTTATGTTAATATGCATTTCATTATGTTGTATTATTTTAACAGTTTTATAAAAATTTTTTCTCCCTTGTGATTAATCATAATCATCCTCAAACTCGGGTCTTCTGCCAGAAGCCTGGGAGATTAAGGGTTCTGCGCAATATCTTAGCTGTAATAGTGCGTTCTTCTAAGTAGAAATTTCTGATGTTGTTCTTGGAATCTGCTGAAGTCATTTTTGTAGTTTATTGATCACAGTTTCAACTGCGCCAATTTTGGAAATAATTTGTCCTTTACTTTCCACATCTCCAGTTTCTCTTTTAACTCCTAGTATTTCTCTAACTTTTCATATTCCTTCTTCTGGATGTTCCTGAAAAGCTTAATTTTTTTGCAAAATTGTAAATTTTCAGAATTAATATAAGAGAATTAACAGGGCAGAACAAATATGTATACAAACGACCACTCAAATAAATTGAAAATCTCCCTAACATATTTAAGCAATGGCACAGTATTGGAAATTATATATATAAATATATATTTGAAAACATTAAATAATTTATATTCAATTTAAAGTAAAGTTTATTTTACATAAATCTAATTTAAGAACGAACAATACGAGCACAAACATAATCATCCAGAAGGAGAAACGAGAAAAATAGTGAATTATTGTTTAAGTGGACAGGAAAAAAGGAAGGAGCAAAATACAAATCCAAAAAAAGATTGAACTACAAAAATTTGACAAATTTTTTGTGATCATTTATGCATCAGAAATATTATGCATGCAAAATATTTTAAATGTTTTTTTTTAAATGAAGTTTTTTTAGATGATTTTTGAATTTTTCGATTTTTTTCTTTGGTTTTTGTCGTTTATCTCCAATTTTTTGTGGGAGTTTTTCTGATATAGAGGTGCAGGTTTGAATAAATTTTTTATGAATATCAATGAACTGGAGAATGCTTATAATGGATTGTCGAAGTCCAGTTGTGGTTGAATGAATAAAGTGAAATTTGATGCATTAAATGAATAAGAAAATCGTAAAAAATCCAAGTTAATCTAAATACTAAAAAAAGTTATTTTCAGATTTTTAAAAAATCCTCTGCTCATGTAACGAAAACGATCTAATTATATATCTATCTAACTATATCATCTCTCATGCAACAAAATTTCCGGCTTATCTGCTACACTGGCCATTAAAATGAAGATTCGCGAAGAAGTTGATAGGTTTGGAAAAGAGATGAAGATGGGTCTTCAGAAGTCATCCCAGTCTCAGTTTTAGTGATAGATTTGTTTTTTAAAGGATAGTCAAAAAAATTCAGAGTATAAAAACGCGACAAAATCGAAAAATGAACAATTTGCGGAAAAATTGATATTTGAGTAATTGACTGTAATCACACTCTTCATAGTGCTCACTTCAATTATTTTAATTATTTCCTAATGCAGTGCATTCACTGAATTCACTGAAAGAATTGATAAACACATAAAAGAATCGGAAGAGACATATGCAGCCAAGCAAATAGTATACATTAATATTCGGACTTCTCCGAAGTTCATTTATTTGTTAGAACAACTTTATTACAATTTGCTCATATCTACTCTAATCTCTTTCTGGCAATGCGTTAGCGCTGAAGAATTCGCTTGGCAATAAAATACGGGTTTTGGTGACAGATAGGCTGTGGAGGGTCAGAGAATCGATCCTCTGAAGTTGGGCATAGATCGAAGCAATTCTACAACTTGACCATCCCTACATAAAGTATGTGATGTATTACTTAAAGTACATTTTATACATTAAAATGTAAAAAAAAATGAAGAAACTATTTGTTCTTGTCGTGGGCGGTTGTGCCAGTCATTTCCTGTTGAAAATTATTATTTATAGTAAACTTCTCTAAAAGGAAAGCTTTATTCGCCAATCGTATTTGTGTAAAATGAATCTTTTCAAAAATATCTCGTTTCTGTCGTTTATCACCAAGTATTTATAAAGAAAAAAGAATATTTAAGTGAGATTTTTATTTAAAATGGGAAAATAATGGTGTTGGATCAACTGAAGGTTTAAATTCTTTGAAATTACAGTGGATTTGAGATCACAATTGTCCTCTGTCACTGATAAATCAAGAATTAATTTCGTATTTAGAAAGGCCTGTCGAATCACTCACCAAGTAAGAATGAAACAAATAATTTAAAAATCAACTAAGGTGGACAACAATTGTATCTATCACAATTTTTTCGAAGACCTCGACAAAAATTGAAATTATCGAACAATATTTTGAAAAAAGGAGTAAGGGCCATGTTAGTTAGTGTAAATATGTCAGAAAAATCTACAGAAGTTGCTGCCGATAGGCCACTGGCAGAGGAAATTGCCTCAGCTCATAGTTACTAATGGGAATCAATATTAATTATACCAAGGAACTTTGTCGGCATCAATCATGCCGCGACTTAAAATTTGACTAGGAGATAAATAACTAGCAGCGCTTATTTTGTGCAACAGAAATTTGCTCTCGGTGAGTTGGAAATTTTTTACGTTTAAAGAAGTGCGAAAAGAATGTTATACTCATAAGCAGAGTTTTACTACGAAGAATACAACGAAATATGTGGTCAGAAATCTTCAAATAGTGGAATTAAGCCAACCTTGCCAGTTTGAAACGATGTAATTTTATAACTTCACTTTTTTGTGGTTAGAGTATAGCATAAATTATTTGTCTTGTCTGTACAGATTTAATACTAGAAGCCTAAAATATTAATTGTTGATCTACAACTCTTATCAAGTAAATCTATTATCTAAATAATATTTTTGTATAGTGAAATATGTATGGTTGGATGATTCTATTGATAATCGTGAACCAAATTTCGATGGTTTTGAAGTAGCACACAAGGAAAGAATAGTGGATAGTTTGAATGCACGTGGAGGTAGATTTATCACGTTTTTCCAATTATTATAAATATGCAATATCATTGATGATTATATTTGCTCTTCTTTTGAATCTTTGATAATTAAAATTTATCTTAATAGCAGATAACTCGGAACGAAATGGCGTAGCGATTTTCATATATTTAAAAAGCTCTATTCTAAACAGATAGAGTGGAAGCCGATAAACGTATGGCCTATGCCCACTTCAAAGGAAAGTTTCTGTAATATTTCGACCATTAGTGCATAATGCCCAATTTTATGCTCATTTAACCACGACAAGGGCAAGTTCTATGGAGCACTTCATTTATTGGCAACATCTCTATTAAGGATGACATGTTCATAATCTGGAGAGAGTGGAATGAGCGCGTCGGTCATAATGTCGCTGCGATGATCTCGGCAATTGGCAAATATGGTATTGGAGAGCAGTGTGTCAATATGGAATGCCTTCTTTGTTATGCTGAAGGGCATAAACTTTTTGTTACTAATATTTTGCAGCTTGCTTTCAGCGCTAAAACGGACAATCTTCATGGATCTGACCATGTTATAGTCCGAGCAAAGATCCACGTAAAATTGGCATCTTCCAAGAAACATCCTCAAAGATTTTTGAACTATCTCTGAAAAAATTTGGGGACAATTAGCGCATTATTAAAATATTTCAGTGATACAAATATCAATGACTTTTCTGGAACGGCAAATGAATACTGGTCCAAACTAAAGGAATGTCTCTGAAAGATAGCCACTTCTACGTCAGGGCATACTAGTAGAAAGTGCACTAGTTGGGTATCGACCAAAGCATGAATGTCAGAAGATCTTGACTACCGAATACTTCGAAGAGACGGCAGCAGCACGGCGTGACAAAAATCATTATTGGAGCGACATGGCCTTGAGAATAGGAGCGGTGGCTCGATTAGGCGATAGTAGGAAACTATTCCGCCTTCTTCATAAAGCAACTGTAACTCGTGGAACGATCAGTGAAATGGTAAGGGATAGCAATGGTGTGCCTGTTAAGAATATTAAGGATCGTCTCCTAAGATGGAAGGAATTCTTTGAGGCCAAATTTAACTATGAAGCGCCATCTGTTACCTGTCATATAGCTAATAGGTTCGACAAATCTCTTGCGAGCCTCCAACAGAAGAAGAAATAGTCTCCGTTATCCATAACCTTAAGGCCAATAAGACTCCACGCGAAGATGGTCTTCAGGCTGAATTCTTCAAATGTTATCCATCGTCCTTCATAATGCACCTTCAATAAATGTTCTCTCTAGTATGGAAAAAAGAAATATTATCAGATGAATGGAGCAAAGCAATTCTGCTCCCAATTCCTAAGAAAGCTGACAGGACATACTGCGACATACAGTAGCGAGAAATCAGTCTACTAGACATCTCAGCGAAAATTTTTGCTTCCCTGTTACTCAACTTACAGGACAGCAAGATGCGCCTTAATCAAGTTCGATTTAGATCGAGACGCGATTCACGTTAAAAAGGATGCTAAAACATCGCTTCAGATATTTGCAACCTACTGTCACGTGCTTCATCGACTTTACTGCTAGGTTTGAATCGATTGACAGAGCGGCGCTTTGGAGGGCGATGGAACGCGACGGTGTTCCAGAGAAGATCATTCGATTCATAAAGGCATTGAGCGTATGTTGGCGTAGATCTGTATATATGGGGAGCTGACGGACTCTTTCGAAATAAGAACTGGTGCCGTCAGGCCTTGTCCTTTCCCTTACGGTATTCAACTATACGATAGACTGGATAATGGGCACCGCTTGTCGGCACTCAAGAAGTGTCCAAATCAGTCCAGAGCATCGTATCGTATCTTGAATACGCTGAAGATGTAGTCCTTTCTGCTGATAATTATGGCTAAATGCAAATAATGCTAAATAACGTGTTAGCAACTGCAGCGAGAATCGGATTCAGGATCAATGAAATTAAAACCAAAGTCCTTTCGTTTTATGTGCGAGAAGCTGAAAACACTTCTTTTTATAAATTCATTGCCGGTTGAGGAAGATTTTAAATACCTTGGGTCCACTCTATTAACAAATGACTAGGCAAAAGACGATATTACAACCGGGATCATGACAGCTAGAATGTTCTTCCGGTTGACGAAACCTTTATGGCGCCGTCGTGAAATCACCATAAAAACGAATGTCCGCTTAGAAGAAGCCGCTCATTAGCTTCCTTTCATTTATTCACTAAAATGTCGCTAGAAAGATTGCATTTACAGTATAACGTCTTACAATATAACAATGTCAATAAACATTTATAATTAACAACATATCTTAGAAGGGGATAAGATGGCCCAATGGACAGTTGCTCGCATTTCAAAGGGAGCCGATATTAAGTTTCCGCTCATGGCGGGAATCTCTCTAAAAAATCCAGATGGCGTTGGTAGCCCATCTGCAGTTCCATCCTCAAGCGACTCCCGGACAAAATTTATCCGGCCCGATGAGCCAATAGAACAAGTCTAACCAATAATAAGCGCCTTTTTTGATCAAGCCATGAAAGTCCACAAGATCTTTGGGTTTTTTGTAAGCTGAAATCACTTTTAAGTTTTGAAAACCTTTGACGCTTCCTTACATTCATAGCTTTTGGATACACTTCGTTTGCTATTATTGCTTTCCCTCCATTAAACCATTATAAACCATCCATCCCAAAAAATTTTCCAAATGGTAATTCACGTGCCATCACTGAACCATGAAATGAAATTTCACGAACCTCGACTGAACAAACCAACTATATTCTACAATATTCACTTCAGAAAATCGTTATTTAATGACCATTAAAAGCCACAGAAAATGTTTAAATCATCGCAGTAGAAAAAAAACGATCACCTTAAAAGTACTAAAAAATTCCTTACTAAAAATTCTGCTAACTTTGCTTATTTTCCATCTATATCCATAACTTATTTTAAAATTATAATGGAGACATTACCACCCAACAACAGTCATCACTTCTGGTTTGGCTCTTCATTGACTACGATTGAGATCCTTTCACCACTTGAAGATGAAAATATAGACGGATCGACAACATGATTACGATTTTAATGATAGATTCACTCTCATAAGGGATAAGGGAAAATACTGTGAACTTCCGTTCAACCGTCGTGAATCCTAAGCATAATTCTCTATTATTGCTGCAGCTCGGTGAAAATCAAATAATACCATTTTAATAAGCAAAAATTAAGTGAAACGCATAGTTCATTCATTTAACTGAAAGATAATAAAAGGAGCATAAATTTAAAAAAATATTAGTAAATAGATCAAATCCAGAACTTATAACCATAATTTAAGCTTAATTTTAATTTTTAAATTTTTTTTTGAATTCAATTTAGTAAATTTAAATCCTTAAAAAAATTGGGAATAGAATCACAAATTTTTGAATATTGAATAGAGTGAAAATTTCCTATGAAATTGAAAAACCTTTTATAATTAAAAATGGCTAAACCAAATAGAAATTGATATTGAGTGGTAATAGTGTTCTGCATTTACGAAAAAATAATAATGATAATATACAACAGAAAAAGACTGAATGTAGATTTTTTAAAAAGACCGAGAAAAGAAGTAATATTATCCTATACAATTCAAACAAATCCTCCAAGAAAACCAAACGAAAAAACTTCAAGTACTATAAAATGCTAATAAAAAATATATTAATAAAAAATATAACTATATTTCAAACATCTGTAAAAGAAAGTTAGAAATTCGCGTTAAAAATGAAAATCAAACATATGATTACAATTAAATTACAAGAAATATGGTGCAACGATACGGTCAGGCTTTTTACGTTCATTATCTTCGGCTTCGTCGAAATATTTCACCTCTTTATTGCCATTTGAATGCAGTCGAAGAATTGCTGCTTCATTACCACATCGATAGCAATAATTTGGAGCTAAATTACGCCAGAATATTTGAATTTCTTACTTAATCACTTGCTTTTTAAAATTATATCATAATAAACTAACCAGACCAAACTGTGCATAATATATCATTCCAGAATGACTTGAAACCTTCCGAAACTAACTGATGAGATCGACATATCAATGATAAATCATTTGAATAAAGAAACTGTTGGGTTGGTCCACATCCGAAAACCTTTAAAACATTAAGAAAACCTTTAAAAAATGCAAAGTTTGAAGACTACTTTTACCTCATTATTTATTTCATTTAAAAAAACATTCCTTAAAGTATTATTGTCACAAATATTTACCCATCCAGCGCCACGAGGACTTAATTCCCAGCCATCTTTGTCAACTTCTGGGTCCGACCAAACAAGATCACATAAAGCACCTTTAGTTGGAATCTCAATTGCTCTAAAAAAGCTCTTGATTTCTATTCATAATAAGAATGGGGATAGTTCATCATTTCCGGCTGCTCTTGCTTCGCTAAAATATTTTATATCATCCATCAGAGCATAAAAATTTTGTTAGAAGTGGCGATAGAAGCAACGGTGGGTCACCAGCTTCATCTAGATTTTTGAAAGAAAAGGTCGTTCCTCATAGAAGTATAATCCTTCATAATGAGAATATTAAAAAAATAAATGCAAACAAAAATATGCAGATTATACAAAATGCATGTTATCTCCTAATGTGTATAATGTACATTATTTCCTAAAAAATTACAAGAAATATCGAAATTTACTACTTATATATAAATTTAAATCTCATTTGAAAAACTGAAAAAAAATTACAATATTCACCTATCTAACGATGACAACTTTTCAAGAGTTTTTACTTCGGGAGAAAGACCGCCATGTATACAAACAATTGTCTCATCAATCAATGCTGCTATAGGCAATGCATCAAATACCTGGAGAAATAACATAAAATTGATACAAATAAATATAAAAATAAAAAAATCGATTTAAAATAAAGAAAACGCTTTTAAGAATTAATCAGTTAATTGCTCCATTATATCAATGAACAGGTTTTTTCCGCTTTTTTCTGCCTAAAATGCAGGTTTTCTCCTTCTTCATCACAATGAAAACCAATAATGAAATGAAATGAAACATGTAGGCAAAAAATTGGTAATGGATAGTTTCAATATGATCCTACACAAATATAAAGCTTTCAAAAAAAGCCTAAATATTTATTTATTATTATTAAAAAAATTAAGTGTTGCAAAAACCATTTATTAATAATGAACAATGGATAATATAATGGATAATAAAAATATTAAACAAATGAAAATAAAAAAACTAGATATTATAAAATAATGGACTAATGAATAATTTGTAATTAAATATTAAATAATAACTAAATAATGAGTGACTCTATACTTAAAATTAGCTGATAGTGCAAATATAACATCTTTCATTCCAACAGTTAATGCTTCGAATAAATTTTGAGACAAATCTTTATATAAGCTTGACTGATCTATCATACTTAGAAGATAAGCATATGGTACTATATTTCACTTCACTTGAAGACGAAAATAATCTCTATATAATTAATATTGACGAAAAAAATAATGGGGACTTATGTAAAGTGCCCTTAAGTAACTGTGAACAGCACTGTGCTTTGCTTTTTTCTAGGCAAGAAAAGGAATCATCATTAAATAGAATTATTACTGGCGATGAAAAAAGAGTAAGTCGTAAATAATCCTAACCCTAGTCAATGGTTTTCAGCTCACCAGCAACAGCTGCTAAACGTGATATTTATGGCAGAAATATATCACTGTTTGTAATGTCCCTCACTCACCCTCCCCCTCCCCCTCCCATCCCCTCGCCATAAAGAAAACAATTAATCATGAATTACTCGAAGCTGATCAGATGTCTAGCGTCTGCTGCGAATTGTCTCCAAGAACTAAGTTCATCGAAACCGCCTACACTAGCTAAAATAAAAGATCCTAATAATGCATCTTAATAAATCCTATAATGTGATAATACCAAGACCTCACGATTCAAAAAATATGCACCAAAAAATCAAAAAATTTGGCTAGGAATTTCTACCTCATTCACCTTATATCCTTGCCCTTTCTGACTATCATTTGCCTTTGCAACACCATTTTGCTGAAAAAAATTCTTTTCTTTTGAGGATGTAAAAGAATGAACTTGAAGAATATTTCCAATCCAGGTATATAAGCCTCTAGATGATCATAAGATGTGATAATTTTCTTGATATATTCAAATTTCTGATTAAAAATATTATTTATTAGACAACCAGTAATTTAATAAAAAATTTAATAAAACCAACTTTACAACACCATTTCCAAACAATTGAATGACCATATTTTTGAAGGCATTCATCATAGAAACCATACACGCCAGATATTCTTCGAGATTCATGATTACCACGAAGAAGAACAATTGAATCGGGATATCTTAGCAAAAGTGAAAATAAATATGTCAAAGTTTCGAGACTATAATAGCCACTAAAAAAAGAAAATACATTAAACCATAGCGAATATAATTAAATAAAATTATTAAAAGATTTTAAGAAAAGTGATATTCTACGATATTTTATGCAAATGAAATTTCTAATGATTAAAGAAATTTTTTATAAATTTTTTTATTCATTATTCATTATTATTATTTTTTTAATCAGATTTGAATACTTCCGAAATATGTGGAAAATTTATATCATAGACTATAAATGAGATAATATAAGCAAATTATAAGCAAGAATATTTGAAATTTAAATTTATGAGAATATCAAATGAAAAATTAAAAAATGTTTGAAAAGATTTTAATAATAAAACTTAATGAATTGACTTAAAGATTATAAATTTACGACATAATTAAAAATTAAAATTAAACCGGTCGACATAATCACCCATAAAGATATATTTTGTTTGCGGGATTTGACCGCCCTGTCTGAAAAGTTTTAATAAATCATAAAATTGTCCATGAATATCGCCACAAACTGTAACTGGAGTTGAAAGTGCGATAATGTTTGGAAGAAGCGAAAGTCTCGTGATAAGCCTTAAAAATATTAAAACAATTGTCAAAAAAAGGTTAATGTATTTTTACACTAATTTCTTTTCAGAAAATACCAAAGCAGGCGGATAATATAGAATTTTTAAAATCGTATAAAAGAAAATCATCTAATCCAAAATTACCACCTGGCTTTCCAAAAAACTTGAGAACAAACTTGAGAAAAATCAAAAGATTGATTCTTTATTATTGGAAAAATATTATTCAAATAAGGACAACAATAAAATTAATAATGATAATCGGAAAGTTCAATTAATTAACATGATAAAAACCGCATTATCCAAAAAAATATAGAGCAATCTCAACTCAACGAACTTTCGATAAAACTTTAAACAACTGTGCTGCACTAACGAAAAAAGCAAGAGGGCGAACAGCGCTATCATTTTCTGGTTGACTCGCTTCGCTTGCTTGTCAAACAAAATTTTACGAGACATTTGGCGAGCGAAGTTTTTTTCAGGCAGCTGGGCCGACAACATTATAAGGATTTTTTGGTTTACACATGCTAAGAAAAGAAGAATTCTATTCTCTGTTATAGAATTGAAAAAGAATTCATTCGGCTTCCGAAATGAGAACCATTGAGCCATTCTATCTCCCGACAAGCCAGTAAAACCAGTCTGACCACAACTAGCGAAACATTCACAGAATCAAAGAAATAATTCATCAACTTTACTTTCTTTAAGGAAATTACAAAAAATTAAATAAAATAAGGTCATAGCATGCTCATTAATTTAAAAAAAAACTAACATATCACACAGTAGGATCATTTCATTTTCAGGAAGATACATACAACATGAAGTTTGTTCAACCCAGCGATCCAAATCGAACTCCTTGTTCCGGAATTTTAATGAAAAATGGTTTGATTGCTTACCAAAAACGTCCGACATCCCATTACCATGAAAAACCATACAAACACTATTTGTTTTGTTTTATCTTATCCTAAATGAGACAAAAATAATAAAAAATTTCAATATCAGTTGGCTATAGCAGTATTGTTCATTATCTGAAATTAAAAAATTAGAATTTCTTGATCCAATGTGTGAAAGAAAATTATGCGACAAAATTAAGTATGAAGAGAGCAAACTTAAATTTTAATCTTAAATTGGAGCAAAAAATTTTTATTCATACACAATAACAATGAACGAAAAAAAAAAAAATAACAAAACACTAAATAAAAACTAAAAAGTATATGCCTCCAATTTCATTAAAAGAAAATAAAACCTCGCTGATTTCGAAAATATTAAAAAACTTTATCGATAAATGATCAAATCTTTTCAAATGCCACTTTTTCACCATAAGATTTTATGATTTTACATGTGAAGAACAGTACTATACAGACTGGACGACGCCAACTTTTGCAGCACGAATTGGACGACCTTTAAGAGAATAACCAATCTTTACCACTTCAGCCACATAACCTGGCGCAAATTTCGCCTAAAAAGATCACCACAAGGCAAATAGAAAACAAACCACTGAAAATAAAAAATGAAGATAAGAAACCACATAACTTTATTATTTTAAAAGCTTGAATTAAAAAATTGCGCAATATAGAGGAAGAATTCTCCAAAATTTTTGCACTAACTATTAAAGAAGAAACATTAAAATAAATACCACCAAAAATAAATAAATACTGAATATCAAACTTTTTTATAAAATCCACTGAAAATCACACTTAATATAATATAAACATTTACAAGCCCGAAACTTTATTCTAAATAATTACTAAAACCTCAGAAGATGGAAACAATTTTTTTGCAGCCAAACTTAACTAGGATGCACCACCTGTTGTCCCAAATATAACTGATTTGCCCGTCGAGCTTTACGCTTCAACTGTGAACTAACAAAAGAGGAAATAATCTCTAGTTCATAAGCTTAAAGCCAATGAAACTTCAGGAGAAGATGGTCTTCAAGCCGAACTCTTCAAATATTATCCATCATTACTCACCCACTCACTCACCTTCAACATTTTTCCCTATTCCCTAGTATGGTTAAAAGAAATAATACCAGAAGAGTGGAGCAAAGCAATTTTACTTCCAATTCCTAAGAAAGGTGATAGGACATACTGGGATAATTACCGAAGAATCAGCCTACTAGACATCTCCGGAAAAGTTTTCGCTTCCCTTCTGCTAAATAGATTCATGGCAACATGAGATAGCGGAATGCCAAACCAAGATGGATTTAGACCAGGATGATGATGCAGGATGCAGTTGTGCTGATTCAGATAATTACCCTAAGAAGAGTGCTGGAACATCGCTTCAAATACCAGCAATTCACCGTTATCACTTTATTTATCGATTTTGCTACCGCCTATGATTCGATTGATAGAGCGGCACTTTGGAGGGTAATGGAACGTGATGGCGTTCCAGAGAAAATCATTCGACTCATAAAGGCATTTTATCAGAATACCTTGGCACTTATATATGGGGAAGTGATTGATCCTTTCGAAATAAAAATTGGTCCGTCATGGTTGCGTCTTTTCCCCACAGTATTCAACTATACGATAGACTGGATAATAAGCATTGCTTATAGGTACTCGAGGTGTGGGAATCAGAGCATAGCATCATAGACCTTGAATACGCTGATAATGTAGTCTTTTTTGATTATTATGAGGAAATGCAAATAATATTAAACAATATGTAAACAATTGCAGCAAAAATTGGACTCAAAATCAATGTAAACGAAAGTGCTTTCGCCTTATATATATAAATGGTTGGTTTCAGAATATTCAACCGTTTACTTCGGCTTCGGTAAAAATTGTCATTTAATACCTGATAAAATACCTATTTTTATCAATTTATTGCCGATTGAGGAAGCGCTGGACTTTAAATATCTTGGATCCACTTATCCCAATCCCAAATGGCCAGGCAAAAGATGACATTATAACCCGGATAACGACAGCTAAAACATGTTTTTTCCGAATAATGAAACCTTAATGGAACAAACCTTAATCGAGAAATCATCATGAAGACGAAAATCTACGTCCATATAGCTCTAATTAGCTCGATCATGCTATATGGCAGCGAAACATTGCCAGTGAGAGTGGAAGATATTAAGAAGCTATTAGCCTTTGACCACTCATATTAGGTATTTTACGGATCCGTCGAGCGGATAAAATCGCACATGATTATATCTATCCAATCTTCACTCAAATACCATCTATGTTAATATTGTTATTACAAAGCGTCGCCTTTGCTTGTTAGGGCACGTTCTCCGTCGTCCACCACAAGAGTTGACGCATATTTCGTTGCTTGCTGTGATAGAGTCGAGAAGGGCCAGTAAAATCCCCAACTGATACAGTCAGGAAAGATTTTGAACGTATAGGGGACCAGCGATATATGGACTTAGATGATAGAAAAAGGAATGGCTTCTATTACTACTCGCGATGGACCGAGCAGCTTGGAGACAGCTTACCCTTGTAGCCAGCAAAGCCAGTCTAATCAGTAATGGTGAGAAGAATTACTAAAGTAACTAATACCTGATCTTTAGGAACTTGGAAGACGGCTTCATGTAAATTTGGGTCAAATCTTTCACCTTGAGGAAAAACTTTTCCCAAACCATGCTTAGCAAAGGCTTTCTCTAAAACAGTCTTAGTCATTTCGATGCCTTTGAAAAGGTTGCTTAAGTGCTCATTTGTTTCTATGTCTTCTTTTTTCACCGTAGCACATGCCAAATCGAGAATATCGGCAACCTAAATACGATATTAATAGGTTACTCTTTTTTTTTTTAAAACAACGAAAAGACAAAATTTTAGCAGTATTTCTTCACTCATTAAGATTATTAGTAATTTTCCGAAAGCGAACTAACTTCTAACAAATCTTTACAGAAGCTTTGGATCGCGAAATGTTTCGCATCCTCAATTTGTTTTTGGCTACGTCGTCTAACATTTTCTGTTTCGGCCAAAGCACGCATATATTTATCCTGCAACAAAGCCAAAGGTTCCTTCCATTAAAAATTATAAGCTATGAATATAAATATACTAGCATAAATATATATGAATATAAATTGAAAAACGTATCGTTCTTTCATCTGGTATTTTTTTGACAAACTACAAGTTTTTTAGAAAATTTTTCTGAGAAACCTTGATTTAGTTTGCTTCATTTACCTAGAATTTCCGGCAAAGAGCCCATTTAAACAAGAAAATTCAACCAAACCTTCCAGTCATCAACCTCTTCCAGCAAACCATCATATTCTTCAGCAATAGCATCGAAAGCTGGACGAGGAATTAAGAATTCTTCATTAAGCGCCTCTTGCCCTTTTATTTGTTCGAGAAACTGTGCACCTATAAACATAATAATCGGAATACATAATTTCCGATTTATTGTAAAATGCAACATGGCAATAAATCCAACAGAAAAGCATATTAGATAGTATATTTAAAAATCTCCAAAATTATTAGAGTAATATTCAACATTACTGTTAAATTTATTATTATATTATCGTATTATCATTGTTACTATTACATTAATATTATTCTTATCACTAAATATATTAGCAAATGTTATTATTATATATACTACAAATTACAAATTGGTAAAAAATAGTCAATTACTGAATAATGTAATGGTAAATAATTTGATTATGAATTATGATTTATTTATGAAAAATATCATGAAAACTATTTATAACTCTGCAAAATTGCGAAATTATCTTTGCTTATGTGGACAAATAAACTTATCATTAAAGTCAAATCCGGTCGTTGCCTGGAGCTCCATGGATAATCTGGAAAGGATAGACCCTATGAGTTTAAGCTCCTAAATACCAAAAAAAGATGGAATTGTGACTGTGAGAGACTGGAATAAGCACGTACAACGTGGGCTATCCAGCTCATATCTTTTGTGGCCATACAGTATTACAACCCAATGTGCCAAGAGAGAACGTCTACTCCACTTTGCTGAGGAATGTTTTTTGCCATCACTATATAGCATTTCAGCACTGCAGAAGACTTTTAAAGTGGAATTTACCGGACAAGATTCAGGTGTGGTCATTAAATGAAGTATTAAAACATGTTGAGGTACTAAATTAACACCATTAAAACCGCTGGAATTGCCGAGAAGTGCTCATCAGTTGAAATTTAAAGTTCTATCGCTAAGAATCAATAAAATCTGCCCTAGAATATATGACTCGGAATATAAGCTGGATTTCGAACAAAACCTACTTGTTCGACCGTAAGAGCGTCAGGAGATGCTAGCTATCAGCCCCATAGATTGAATTATACACATTACTTGGGGTAAAGCAGTAACACAGTTCAAGGCACAGTATTGCGAACTTTGAATGCAGTGTCATTACTGTCCTTTTGGCTGGCAGTTATGAGTAACTGCAACAAAAATACCGAATATCGAAATAAACAACGACTTAAAACCTCCTTTTGTTTAATAAACACTGGTAAGACCGCAACTTATATAAATTCAACAACAGCTGAAGATAAAAAGACTTTAAATATCTCGAATCCACTATCATACCTAATGGCCAGACGAAAGACGAAGTCCTAGCTCAGATGGCTGCAGCTAGAAGTGCCCTATTTGCCTTGCGAAATCTCTAGAATCGCCGCGAAATCAGCCTCAAAGGTCAAAACAAAAGTTCGATATCTATCTAGCTTTAATACGGACAATTTCTTTATATAGCTGCGAACCTTTGAATAATAGGAAAGGTCAGGAAGTCATACGCCTTTGACCATTGTTACATCAGCCAAGTGGACAGAATCTCACGTGATTACAATCTTCATTCGAAATATCATCTGTATTATGAATATTATATTATTATCAGCGTTTGTTCTTCATTGTCCATCACGGGAACTAACGCAGATCTCGCTACTTATGATGAATAGCACTAAAAGCAAGTAAGAACAATGGAAAGATACTGTCAGGGAAGGTTATGAACGCACAGGCGACTCAGCAAATCAGGATCAGGCCTAGACTTAAGCGCTGGAAAAAGAAGTGGCTTCAATTACTTTAGGAATGGTATCTGATCGAGAGGCTTGGAAATATCTTACCTTAATCGCCAATGGAGGGAGACTGCAATGATACGAATTAATAAAAAAGAGAAAGTTCAGAACCATCGCAAAGGAGAAAACCTTACTCGTTAATCTAGATGAATTATTTTTTAGTGAATATTTCTTCGTTTCACTCTCCTTCGAACTATTCGATGCACTGCAAAATGATGAACGATTCGCATTGCATAGATATGAATTTGTCCTTCTTAAAAGTAATCTGGAAAAAATATATATCTATTTAACATAAATTAAAGTTTTTTAAATTACAAAAGTATAGAATTCTTGAATTTCAAAAGAACAATTTTCAGTAAATACAATTCGCAGTGAAAAAAATCAATAAATTAATTTAAATTATCAAATGAAAAGGATGATTTTTTTTATTTATTAAATTATTTTATTTTATTCTTTTTCTTCTTTTATCATTACTGGTTAGTTTGGCTCCGCTGACTATAAGGATAAGACGTCTCCAAATTCGGATCGATACCATCGCTAGTAGTAATGGAAGCCATTCCTTTTTCCATCGTTTAAGTCCATATACCGCTGGTCCCCCATTCGTTCAAAATTTTTCCTGGCTGTATCAGTCCAGGTCTCGATTGGTCCACTTCGCTTCTGATACCAAATATCAGGGTTTAGTAACGAAATATGTGTCAACTCTAACTTCCTAACCAGCAAAGGTGAGATGTGATAATATTATATAACGTTATTAATACCGGTGGTATTTGAGCAAAAGTGGATATAAAATGTATCTTAGACATGAGTGGTCAAAAGTTGATAGCTTCTTAATATCTTCCACTCTCATTGGCCATGTTTCGTAATCACGCTGAGGATTGAGAATTAGGTGGATTGCTTTGTTCGAGTAATCTGGCATTAATTCTTTCTTCAATACTAAAGAATATATTTACTGAAGATGAATTAGGAATAACATCTAAACATCTAAAGATTCAGTCTTCTCCGGCACCTTTATTGGTATTTTTCGTTCTGATGGTAATTCATAGTTTCAAACATAAAGTTACCCCGGCGAGCGTTTTAGCTTCCGCGATGACATGGTTAAGTCTAACCTTAAAGAATTTTCTCCACTAGGTGATCGCTGAAGACGATTACCTTAACTGGCACACCACTGCTTTCCATATTCAACCAACGCATTTTCGAGTGGTATAACTTATCGTTAATTTGGTAGACTTTCGGAATGTCTTTAGTTGCACTAGCACTGGTTATTCAAGTGGAGCTGTTTGATATTTATCCATACAATATCACTGAGGTATCGCGCCTGTTAACCCCAAACCTTTTAGCTTGAGATAGTTAAAAGATTTAAGGGACGTTGTTTGCTGTGCGTTGCTAGCTTATGTGAGAATACTGCCTCTAAAACTCTGATTCATGAAGAGAATCCCGATAGGAGTGGTGGCTATTTCGTACAAAAGCAGACTCGAGAGCTCATTTCAGAATTTGGAAACTATTTTGTCAGACTAGGTTTGCATATTTATCGCATGCATCACTACGCTAGAGGTATCGTGCACGTCGGAGCTGAAGTCTATCAATACAACCTGGAGATAAAATGCATGCAGAGCTTCAGCAGCCCCTCGGATTTTAGTTCTCTGATAGTTTATTCCAGTCAAAAAAGAGATAAAATCCAATGAGTAGAAGAGTAATGAATGATGCAGTTACTTCTATTATTATTATTATTAATAAAGAGAGAAAAATTAAAATAGATAAATAAAGAAAGAAGAATAACCATTTCCTATCAACCAATAAGACTTATTTCAGAAATAATTCAGAATAATTAAACCAAGGATACTTGGATGAAACGACCGTTATCAGCTAAAAAAATTTAAATCGAATCAACTATCGTTGACACTGCCTTTCTCCAAGGCTTATAAGGTTTACGGCTGAATAACCTTATGCAGTACACCGCTGCGACATCAAACACTGATGTTTTACTATGTAGTACTAATCATGTATACATGAAACACTGATATGTATATATCGGTGGCAATGAAGAGAATTATATTTAAAAGAATTATATAAGCACAATTCCAGACCGAGAAACATGGTTCTCTTAAGGGAGACCAATTTTTTCGAAATTTAATAACAATAATGACCAAGAAAATTTTTTCCTCAAAATTTCTGGATATTTTTCAAATATCTAAAATTTTTCCGAAAATTTTTTATTTCATAACAGAATAAATAAGAAAAGCTTAAAGAACCGAACCGAATTAGATTAGAACCGAAGATTAGAACCGAACGCGAAAATAAGAAATTATTAAACTGGCAGGTGAATACTGAGTAGTTTGGTGGCAATTCGGCTCGATTACTTTATTACTATTGATGGAGAAAATAATATGGTGGTGCTGTGATTTTTATTGTTGATACACCATCGCATGATTTTTTATTTTTTTTGTTTGTAAAAATAAAACTGAGCAAAGCCATTAGATAATTAAACTAGATGAAGGAAAAAAAAAATAAGAATGAATACAGAAAAAGTGAAAAGCAAATCATATAATAAAATTAACTAAATTATATAATTAAAAAAACAACCAAAAAAATTACCAATACTAACAGACAACTGCGCGCATATCTTCCAGTAATACCACTGATCATATTAATCAATTTCTTTTTGAAACTAGAGAAAGCAAAAATAATTTAATTAGGCAATTTATTACAATGATTTGTATTTCCAATAAAAAATTTGAGGGGCAATTCGCTGATCCCTATATTCTAATTTGAGCAATATTAACGCCATTACCTCAGATAGCATCGAAATATTGAAATATTGAAATTTCACAGTAATTAGTACAGCTTAACGCATACGAGCAAAACTTCATAAGTAAAGATTAGATTTTGCTTTATCCTTATCACTAAGCGAACTAAAATTTTAACTTAGATTTATAATTTAATGAAAAATCAGGATTTATGCGGCACAGGAAATATTTCTGTAAAGATTCAAATTAACTGTACTAATTTACGAAATCTAAGTGAGATGGTTAACTGTACTGTACTAACTGTACTATTTTCAATGCGGATGATCAAATGTTTCATACATATAGAGGTAAGGAAGAATTCAAACTATTCCTAAACGTTTAGCTTAAGGCTTGAAATTCTAGAAGCCTTTATCAGTTTTCCAAAGCTTAAAAATTGTTTGTTAATGCAAAATTATCGACAAAAATAAATGGAAGACTCAAATTTTACCGTGAGCGGCATACAAAAGAGCTAAAGAAGAAATGACTATAGTAACGCCATTAATATACTTTACAAATAACCAATATAACTTTGAGGCACACCAGATTCAAACAGGACGAAACCAGA